GAACCGATAGCTCAGGTGAGGTTCAATTGATTCGAAGCAAGGCTGCCGAGTTGATTTTTTGTGATTCCTACTCCATTTCCAACTCAAGCTTCAAAAACCGTCTCCGACTCCGACTCTAACTTCAGCTCCGACTCCGGAAGAAGTGTCGACTCGACCAACTCCGACTCCGTCAGCGACTGTGACTCCGACTACATACGAGGACCTGATTAGTTGAAAACAATTTTTCCATTCTATGTATGTGTTTTCTCTTCAAGTCTGGTGAGCAGCCGGCCGTTCTTCAGAGATGTCCGGTAAATTGATGGTATCGCAGAGTTTCGGGCGGGTGCCTCCCACTCTCGGCGTATAGAGCACGGTCGGGTGATGGGTGGCGCTGTCTCTGCGAGGCGCCTCTGCTGGCGAACCCTTGAATAATACAGGTCAGAGTTGAGCTCTGCGCACCAGTAACGAAGTTAGAATCCCGCAGTTCTGCCAAAACCAGGATCGGTAGACTATCGGTCACGACGAGGGATGGCCTAAAGTCAGCCGCCTATGCGGGCACCGGCAGAGACCATATAACCAATAACCAATGAATAATGCTAGACGGCGTACAGTGACGCAGCTCACACATATGCTACCACAGTCATCATCATTCAGCAGGCACCACACAACCAAATATAGCTAAATCCATGCATTCTTTGAGGCCCCGCGGCCCCGCGTACAAATCTTTTCACGTGCATGTTTCATGATGACCTTTTCATGCAAAGGTAATCAATTGGACATGGTTAAATGCGACAAGCACAATGTTATAAACTTGTTTTGCATTTTTTCTAAAATTTGGCAAAAGTCATGCATGTGATATTGCAAAATTAAGACAATGAAATACATCAAAAGTGGGCGCGCAATGACGTACTTCAGTCACCGTAAAAAGGTTTGGAATGGCTCGTCCGGCTCACATTTTATGACATCCAATATCCGAACCCCTAAATCTACCGGAAGTTATTGAATATTTCAAGGAATTCGAGACTCCTGCCTAGGTATCCGTCCAATATTGATAAAACGAAGAACGCTGAATTAAATTGAATTTCTGTATATCTCCTTCATCATTCATCCGAATTTGGCTAAATGGAATCGCACCAAATATTTATGTGATAATCTATGCTACAAATACTGACATTCATATGGTATGTCATAGCAATAAGATCAGTTTCGTCATGACCGCGGCAAGTCAGCTATAAGCCAGGTTATCTAAGAACCACGAGTATGTAAAATGACATCAGCAAAACATATGGCGAAAAGCTGCATACGAAGTGTAGTGTAGGCTGAGGTAGTTATAGAATGTGTCTTATTTTCATTTCACTTACCAATGCGAAACGCTGACCCATGATGCCTTGTGACCTGTGACCGTCCCCTGGTCGAAAACCAGTCCAATGCTCCGTCCAATGTCGCTTCCAATTCGTTGAACATCGGCTCTAGCTGTACAAAAGCACAACTCGAACAGCACAACATACTACCGCCCCCCCCCCCCCCCCAACACACACACACACTTCTATACAGAGTCCATATGGCGTCTTGTCCGAAGCTCGACCTCCACGCTCGGGATGGGCTCCCATAACCAGTCCTGCTCATGACACTCAAAGCCCATTAACCCCTAGTGCGTTTGGTGAGGTACCCAGACAAAGCCCCGCGGTAGCACGATAGGCGGACACGCAAAAACTGTCCCTTCAGCCGGTCACCGCCACACGAGATCACGAAGTCACCGTGTACCAGAGCTCCATGGACGACGGCCAGTTCCTGCGGACAGTGCGAACAAAACGCAGACTAATTATATTACGGCGCCAACGGCGCTGTACATGAGCTGAGGCCAGTGGCATGTGATTGTGTTGCACCATTTCAGCATGAATAAATGCAGTATTTTCCGTCGCTAAATAAAACCAAACGAATCTCACACGACACACCATATCAGAAACTATAATTTTTGTTTTGAATCAGGGGTTACGAGACTCGTAGGGCAAATGTGCCCGCATCTCTTGTTTTCTTCCGTTGCAAATCATGAGACTTCCAAGTCTATCCTCTTTCTCCCCCCTCTCTCTCTCTCTCTCTCTCTCTCTCTCTCTCTCTCTCTCTCTCTCTCTCTCTCTCTCTCTATCTCTCTCTTTCTCCTGTTTATTCAGCTGCGTAACCAGAAGTGACAAGGGCCATGCCAGCCAAACCACACACGTGTTTTACATCGACATGGTCTGTCCGCTAAATCCACCGGAGCAGAGCCGACCACCATCTCAAACGGCCACAAATATGTCAGCCTATCTAAATCCGCTGTCATATTTAACGAACGTTGCGATATCGGTGCTCCCATGCTCCCTATGTCTGTCAGGGAATGCTTTATGACTATTGGGGCAGTTGACGAGTGAGTAAGACAAGATGCCGTCATTTTACCGGCAGACCCGCTGAGTCTTCCCGGCTGAGCCTGAATGCAGTGAGCTGCAGTGAGCTGCTCGACGGCGTGAAACGGCGTATTGCACACCGGGCCCACATGGTGGGTTTTGGCAGAGTGGTTTATCTCTTCAGGAAGCCAGCAAGGAAGCGGTACGAAGGCTCTCCAGTGAACTGCATCGTTGTGTATGAGTCTGGTCGTAAAGGGGCCCTTCCAAGTTCCTTCAGTCATGGGTTATCCCTGATCGGTTGCTGATTCAAATTACTACACCTGTGCGAGTCGATGCTGGACCGTTTCGTGTCTGTTCTTCTCGTCCTTGTTGATACACTTGCCATGACTTATTCACTAATGTTCTCCATGAGGCGCCATTTTCTTAACGCTGTCCCCATTATCTTCATTTTATACTTATTCACAGACTTCTCTATATATAGAGAAGTCTGTGACTTATTCGTCCACAAAACAAGGATTTAACTACACATCAGTGGTCGATGGACCGTTTCCCTCTCCTTATAAGTATTGGCGCACTTGAATTTCATGGGATTTGGGATCGGTTAGCTTCCTACACGAACGACACAAATTAGCATTCCAATACCGATGGTGACCACACGATCAGGACATTACGCCGGCCATCATCTCCCCAATCAAACATGATCTGACCATCAGGCGTATGTCAATCAGGTGTTTGATGGCGGGAATGCTTGACTATTGTTTATAGTAGTGGTAGGCTTAGATATCTGCCTATTTAACCTATCTACGCCGAATGGCATTCCCTGAATCTGGCCGCAAACTATTATGCTGAGATTCCGATCGCGAGCCTCAGTGGCTCCACCTTGTCAACAGACCTTTCCTGCGCCTCGGTCGGCTGAGGCCGACAGAGCTTGTGACTTCAGATGTCAGTTGCAAGCAACGTGACTACAACATAAAAAGCGGCACTCATCGTAAACATAGATGCCATTGAATGAATATCACGAGCGCTAGCTCATATAGAAACACAGTGAACAAACCTGAGCACATTCCTGGCTAGTTTGGTCATAGGTTAGGGAGAAAAATGGGGATTGGCGCAGGGATTGGCGTACCTACTTGTATTGCTGAAACTAGCAAGGTTTACACACAATGCATGGGATTAGAAGAATATAAGATAAGAGATTATAATGAAATTACAAGTGTATGCTTGTCCTATGCTGCACAATGCGTCGTACAAGATGTGAGATTGTCTGACGTCTGGCAAAGTGATAATTGTTACAATTCAGAGGGATTGCTAAGTTGGATTGAGTCATTGCACTGACGGATATTTTCTTATTTTCATAACTCAGACCAGCAAACCAGAACACCTTATCGCCGACCGCGCGGCCTCTCCACTATCTCAGGACCTCTTCCATCCTTTCCCCACGGCGTCCCCTGATCGGGCACGTGTGACCGCTGTGCCGTCTCGCGGATCCATTGATCCGACTCTATCCGCGCGCCAGTGCGCCCAAATGGTTCCATCGTGGCGCGTTATTAATTGCCGCGGTGCGTCGGCGCCGCAGCTGCGCCATCCAATCGTGCGCCGCCAACGCCGTCGATGCGCCACACGTATTATTTACGCGCTCAAAGCAGGTCTTAGAGGTGAGGGTAAAGGAGTAATTGTGTTCGCACACGGGTAAACAACATCGGCTCATGTCAACTCTTTTCCAAATTCAAGTTCCGAATTAAAGTACCAAAATAAAGTAGGAAATTCGGGACAGATTATGTGTACCAGTAGTACCTATACATTTTGGCTCATATAAGCAACTCTGAGACTACATCGCAATGTCATTGTGTAGGTATGCCATATCTGTGAGCCCTGTTGCCCGGTGTGCGGTGTCGCCTGGGTCGTTTGTGTCTCCCGCGTCGGCAAACTCATCGGACAATCTTCTAGCAACCGACGCGACGTGTGCAGACCGCCGCCATCGCGCTATCTCTGCCAGTCGCATAGCACTCCGTTTCAGACGGAATTATCTGCTTTTAGCACGTCGGGAGCATACCAGCACCCCAGACGCTCCAGGGAGGAGTGGCCCGGTCTGTGTCAACTGCCGCCGCAATCGCTGTCATCAGCCGGGAACCGCGACTCGTACTGAGAAAACGCGCTCCTGGCTCATCTGGAGCACTGCACTGGCGCGATTTGGGGACACAACTATTTTATCTCGGATTTTCCAAGCCTTCCGGGAGCGCGTGTTTCAATGCATATGTTATATATAGAGAGCCTCGTCTCTCCATCTACACTAGGTCGTTATCAGGTAGGGTTAAACTCTGAGGATTATTGGCAATTGAATCGCCCGAAGCTAAGGAATCATCGAAATTTGTTCGTAGCTTTTCACCTCTGGATAAAAATCGATCGAAAGGCACTTCGGGAAAATTTAATTCCATAAATCCGTTTTAAATGAGAACCTCATCAATTTCAAATGCATATAAACAGACGTTCGCCTATTGTTATAAGCATTATTTTTCACTGCGCTGCCCGCAAGCTATGCGTGCTGCTCGGTTGCTGTTTGTTTTATCTCGTCGCCGCTAGGTGGCAGTGCAGTCGTTGGCGGCTCGGCCGCCGGCCCCGCGCGCCAGTCGGTGTTGCGGGGCGAGTGTGTGGGGGTGTGTGGCAGCTGCGAACGGGGACGCATCGTGCGTGCCGGTTCATCGCAGTGACCTCCCTCGGGCCGAGCCCGGTGACCGGTGTGACCTCCTCAGAAGGAGCTAGTGACTGGTGCAGGACACTGCCGGGCAGCCGCGGTTTGAGTGGTCGCGAAGTGTTCACAGGAGCTGCTCAGGAATCTCCGGCAGCTTTCTTCACTGTAAGTAACCCATTATCGTGCATGGCTATACACGTGTACAGATTGGCGTTATTTGGCTATAGGATGGCGTTGTTTCGTAGCATGGTGTTCATGCGGATGTCCTGCTCGTTGGATTGATTGTCGGGATGGGATTAAAAAAAAAAACTATCAACTAATACATTGGTCTCGTTGACCTCTCTACAATATCAGTAAAGAGAAGTGGCGCGTGTTCGTATTTACAATCCCTGTTGTCGTGCGGGCACAAGTTTCCTTGAGGAAGATGTGCTTCACGTGGGTAAACATCATTGAACGGGAACATGAGGGAAATCGGCGAGTGTAACAATGACTTGATATAATTCATCGCTAAAAACGCATTCTTTTCCGAATAAGCGGATCTTGGAATCACCGTTTTTTTATGATTTTACTTCGCGGATATCTCCTCCTCAGAACAGCCAGCCTTCGTCAATGACCGTAGCGCGTATTTTGTTCGGAGGCTCACTTATAACGTGCCAGTGACCTGTCTTGACATGAAAATGAGGCTGGTGTCACATGAGCATCAAATGTAAGCTACCTTACTTACATTGCCACCCTCGTGTCCATTATAAAAAATATGTGCACATGGAGCCGATAGCATAGGTTAGGTGATCCAATATGCTTCAAAGCCTAAACCGTTCGCTTCATTTCTAGCTCTGTCAGTGGGGTCGTATAAATTTCACCAAAATGCTCGGTCAGCTGCTTCAATGTGCATCGAGCGAAGCATAACTCCTGAGCTGCAGGCCTTCCTGATCTTAGCTGCTGAGCTCCCAACGCCCCCTCTGAGCTGACCCGCCCGGTCAATGGTCCGCTGCTGACCCCCATACCGTTCCACACCACGTGTACCCATGTAGGTACCGCCGCGTACCACCTGCGTTGTACCGGTACCTATCTGAGTCCCGATACACAGCGTTCGCAGGTATATCGGCAAGCGGCTCGGCTGGACCGGTAATATCGCTCATACTCCGTGTCGTGCGTGTTTGTCCACGGCTTGTGGAGCTGGCACTATCTGACAGCGGGACGATATATTGGAGCCCTGCTCCGGATCGTCCTGTGCGGGTACACGTGACGTCACCACGCACATATATGACGTCATTACAGCAGTGATAGGCTGGGTAGCCGCTCATTCCTGGTCCTTATTGAAGAGGAATACAAATTGGAGAAAAAAGGCACTAATCGTTACATATAAATTTGTATCTTCTGTGCTGCATTCGGCATTATTGAGCTATGAATATGCCTATAAGCCCTATATGGGCCGTTCCTATACCAATGCCTATCTATTCGTTTAGTTTGAACCCTGCTTTGCTTGATAAAAAAAAACAATTGTTCCACTCGTTACTCATATGACATTGTTCGTATTGAACCATGCACTCACTCGGGAAAAGCTGTTGTGCATGTTTCTACGGTCGTTCGATGGAGCCAGTGTGTCCCCAGGGCTGGAGGCTCCAACGGTAGCCCATTCGAGGACATCCGTTGTCACGCGATGGCCAGCAGGCCGTCCCTGAGGGGAAGGGGCTCACCGCGGGGCTGTTTGATCTACCGGCGTCGTGACCCGGTCCGTGGCCGGGGCCTGGCGACTGTCGACGGCGCGGTCACCTAATCCTCGAGCCAATATTGCATGTCGCTCGGCTGTGAATAATGCAGCCTGCTGGCTCACCAATCCGCTCCTGCTGCGAACCGATTTGGCGACAAAACAAACTGTACGACCAGGGACTTAGCCTCTGAACAGCGTGAGAGCGGCAGTCTCACCTTGTAAGGAGACTGAGAGCAAGGTGTCAAGCTGGAATAAGACTGATGAAAAGTGCTTTTCAAGAGCCGACCGCGGCCCCGCAGCACTTGGGCTGTCCCCACTTCGCACCGTCACCGGGCGCCCTCAGTTCTTGCCTCGTCAGAGCACTTAATCTGATTTGGAGTGGCCATTAACGGGTTTGTTGGACGACAGATTCTGCGCCGCCCTGCTGTCCCATTTCTTCTTTTCGTGACGATTTATTTTATCCCCAAAGCGGCTCGAGTCTAAGACTGACGCGAAATTCGGAAGGGTTTCGTCTATTGGATTAAGGTCAGAGGTATTCTAGATGTGGGACAAATATTGGTTTCTGTTTTGGTCCGATAAGGCATAATGAGTATGTAGGAAGGTATTTGTGTTCACAACGATTTCATTTATTTTTCTTAAAAGTAAAACATTGTTAATTTTATAATAAATCATCCGTAATTGCTCTCACATAACAAGGATGTAAGGCGGCAGGACTTTATATTGATGATCCATGTTTCCCGTTTGGATATTCAACAGGCGCCCTCCATATGTGCGGGCCACACAGAAGCTGACGCGACACCGAGCTCTCCCCCGTTTCCCCGGTGGAAAATGTGTGGTGCCCCTGTATGGCGTCATCAGCGTGTCATTTATCACCACTTCAGACCGCTGACGGTCGCCCGCGGCGGTCCCGACGCGCAGCGACGCGACGTTTTTGTCGCGAGGCGCGAGGGCCGGGCCGAGAGGAGCGCCCTCCCCTGCTCTCCCACACCCTCCCCTCCCCTGCCCGTCGCCCGGCGCCCACTGTGACGTGAAACTGAATGCAAATTACACGCCCGTTGGCTGAGGAAGGAAGCGAATGAGCTCTGGTGAGTTTCATTTGCGGTATTTGGGCTCATTGCGAGACCGCGCGCCAGAGACGTTGGGTGAATATTTTTGTCGTGATGAATTAATTCCTGTGAAGCCGACCTTCCCGTTGTCTGTTGCTGTTCACGGAGAGCTCTCAGGAGATTGTCTGAGCCTTGTCGAACACTCTGATGTTACGGTGTGGCCGCTGCTCTCTCCGGAGCCATCCGTAAGGCCGGTGTGTCCGGATTTCGAGCCGTGCCACGTCTCTGTGGTTTATGGCTCCTCGGCGCAGAGGCCGTGACGTCATAAACACATTGTTCGGAACGGGTCCATGAATCCGCTCCGGACATCTCGCTCCGAAAAATCGGAACGTCCGCACAGGTAGCTCATGTTTTCATGAGATTACCTGTCCGGATGCGGCACCGCAAAACTTTTCTCTCGATGGTGAACCATTGATTTTTCGGGCACGAAATCGGTCGTTACTTTTGCGCAGCTCCACAATCGTGTTCGGCAATAAACTGCAATATAAAATTGCACCAGTATACGGCCCATGCCTGTCGGCACTCTGTCACCGGTTCACAAATTCACGGCCGTGTCCGGGTGTGCGGGGCTATTTGCTGCGGCGGTCGATGCCCTCCTAACGACCAGCGCAAACGAAGGCTCAACTGCCGGACAGCCGAAACGAAAGTGCAGCGCTTATATAGATTGGGACGGCCTGGGGAAGGGCTCCTACAACTGAAACGAATCGAACGATGCTTATGTATGCTACTCATTGGATGGCGTCTAGGGTAAGCAAAAAATGTGTACAAACTACAAAGTGCATAGAAATGAATAAGTATCAGTGTACACAGCACGCCAATGTAATATTCACTTCAAGCTACTAAGCATTCTGCTCAATCGCCGTTACGGACACACCTGCCTCTTCTCTATAGACTCAAGCTTGGAGATTAGCATTAGGCAAGCAGAATGCTGAAATGCATTTAACTGTTTTAATTATTGTAGCATGGGCCGATTACCTTCACTCGACAATAGAACAGACGGCGGCAGCGTGTGCGAGCTTCAATCGCAGCCCATGCAGTGCGCGTGCTACCCTCTGTCACTTCGAGATTAAGTTGGCTGGGGGAACGCCTCGGGCCCGAGGGGGGCGTGGGCATTAATCCATATTGTTCGCTTCCCTATAGAAACTGTGAGCCAGCGCTGCCCCGGGGAGTGCAGCAGAGATTGATTGCACGTCCGCTCTGCGGCTTCAGTAATTACGTCGGCGTCTGACACGCACCGGCGCCGCTCCCACGTCCCGCCGAGACGCGGAGGAGAGGAGAGGAAGGAGCTGCGACAGCGCCGGCTGCGCGAAACGGCCCAGTGACGGGCACCAGAGGAGAGCTCTGAGGTCAGAGTTCAGAGTCGGCACTGAGCGCCGCACTTTTATTGGGAGACGTTGTGATTAAAATAGGCAATGTAGTCATCCGGCTCAAGCTGTAGTTTTGTAGAGCTGACACAAAACATAACAACACCCAGTGTCTTCGAAAGATCAATCTGAAGAACTTATACCACCTGGTCTCACATTTATTTCATTTTATATTTATTTTTCACCTCAGAAGGATGTTGCGTGCGTTTCTTTCACACCATCTTGCAGGAGCCGCGTGTGCCGTGTGCAGGTTCGGATCCATCGTCGCACGTCCATACGTCAGAGCTGGGTCTGTGTGGGGCGCCAGCTGCACTGGCCAGCATAATTTAGGACTGGCCGTTATTGTCCGTGGAGCCACGCTAGCCGTATTGATCGGGCTCTATCGTGACAAACGGAACATGAACGAAGGCCGTCCGGGCCGGCACCGACGGCCGGGGACGCACCAGGTGAGGGATGCCCCTCCTGGGCAGCAGACAGACTAAAATCGGCAAGGCGGAGTCTCAGACCGTACTATGACCGATGGATGTGAAGGGAGACTTATGGTCCAGGTCGCAGTGGCCCTGTCCTGGTTAGTCCTTACTTCATCTAGTGATGAAGAAACTTTCACTTCCTCTCCCAGCTCATGGCTCAGGCCGCCGACCTGGCCCCGGATTGGCCCCGGTGAGGCCAGCAGCCTCCGTCGCAGACCATTTCTTCTCATCGTCAGCTCATTAGGGGGCGTCGCGTCCATTCCGCTGTAAAATTGGCCGGTTCCGAGGGATCCGAGGCAATTGCTGTCTGTCGGTGCCGTGACGGCGGCGGCCTTTGTGGCCGTTCCGCCGATCACGACACTCAGATTGTCATTGTTTCTGACATGGCCGAGCGCACCTACCAAGCGTACCTGTCGTCAGGGGCAGTGCTAGGCTTCTAGAGACTACAGGTGGTGGACACGGAGCCAAGACTCCTCCAAGAAGAGAAGCAGAATATGGATCTGCTAATTGTGAC